GTGAGGTTCCAGCCTCGGCATTCTCTCCCCTCAGAGTGGTAACACCTTTCCTCTGCCTCGAGCCCCTCAACGCTAGGAACTGCTTTATATTAGACAGGAGAAGGCAGCATCTTCCAGAGGTGTGCTGTGGTAGGTGCCCAGAAAGGGTAGAAATGGGAAAACTCTGTAGCTCTTTTATCCCTCCTCAGACTGGGCTGGGGACAGGTCCATGGAGCCAGGGGACCCGGCTGCTTCCTGTAACGTACCTTCCCACGTGGCGATGTTCGTGGTGAAGATTACTTCTCTCCTCTCCAACCCAAGCCTTTTCCTCCTTTGGTTATGTGGTTGCATGGGTCTGAACATCTGGCAGACCCATGGGGTCGTCAAAGTCAAGGTACTCTTTGAGCTCTGTTGACTGTATTTTCTCGTTGATATGATCTCACTGTATTTCCTCATTGATATGACCTCCCTTTAAAAGAGGACAGAAACCCTGACACCAGCCCTCTGCCACAACGTACCGCAGGGCTCCCCCAGCCTCCTTGGGAGTCGGATGGTCAGTGTTGGCCTCGGGGTCCCGTGGATCTCATGGTCACCCAAAGCTGAGGTATTCTGTGGCTACGTCAAGGACCCACTGTTGGCCCAAATCAGATCTACTCAGAAAAAAAACCCCAGGGAAAGCATGCTGGCCAAGGTGACCAGATAGGCCCTGGGAATGTATCTTTCGTCAGCCCCAGAGGTGGGAAAAAATTTGAAAGCTGAGGGCTATATTACTCTTTCACTACTGCCATCTTCCCCAGCTTACCGCCACCCCACCAAACACCCCCCGCGTACAATCACCACGTCCCATTTACCATCTGCTTCAGGCTTCAGCCCCATTCTGAAAAGCTACCCTTAGAAGTTGCAAGCTAGCTAAAAACGTCATTGGGTCCAAGGAGCAAGGAGGTTTGGGAATGGAGGTTACACTCCGATCAGAATTTTTTCTGAGATTCTACCATTTTGTCACTGTAAAGTTAGACTTGGAGGTGTAGTGTTCAGAGGGAATTTGGACCGGCTCCTTTAAAAGTTGTAAGTCAGAGCACTCATTCTAGAAGAAGAGGCACTGATGGAGCTCAGATTGAGTCACAAGACCAGCGTCACAGGTCCCCGTGGTGGAAGGGACTCAGAGGGGATTCTCAAAACAAAGCATGTGGCAGCCTGCAGCCTGGAACCGTTGCCCAGGCCTGAGGCATTGCCAGCGTCGACTTAAACCAGTGGCTTCCTGGACCAGCCAGAAATTGCTCAAGAGGCACTTGATGTACCTCTTCTGAACAGCAGCTGAAAGCAGGCTGAAACAAATCGGTTTAGAAACTTTGACAGGGCCCCAGATTGTCCCAAAGGCAAGAGAGAAATAATGGCCTGCTTTTAGTCCCAGAGAAAAGCAAGTATTCAGTAAATGATGTATTTAACAGTAAAGGAGCCCTGAGTGTATTCAGTTTGTAATTAGGAGTTTGCCTTTCTTTAAACGGAGTAGAATATTTTGCTGCTGCCTCTCATAGAGTGAGCTCATGTGCCCTTTCTTGATGGAGAATTACTGGAGGGAAGATGAAATGGTCTTTTGCTGCTTCCTTCAAACATGGCAGCTCAAAGAGGGCCTCCCCTAAGGAGCAGTACCCTCTACTGCCCTAAAGATGTATCCTCAACATGACACTTACCTTAGGACAAGACTAGCATTGCTGGCCACTTAGGGCAGGCCTGGCACCATTAACCAGTTGTGCTGAAAACAACGAAGTTGGGTAAAAGGTCAAGGGAGGAAAAAAACGAAAGGTCATTGAAGCAGACATCACACCTTGACTTCCTTGATAAGGAAGCTTATTGTCTTCCTGTAAAAAGTATCTGGGAAGAATCATGAGAGAATGATGGTGACTGGTGTGTCAACTGGAGAACAGTGGGGGGCAGGGGGCAAAACCATTTGATTAGAGAAGCCAGTTAAAACCTTGCCCAGGGCTTCCCTGGTGGTGCAGTGGTTGAGAGTCCGCCTGCCGATGCAGGGGACACGGGTTCGTGCCCCGGTCCGGGAAGATCCCACGTGCCACGGAGCGGCTGAGCCCGTGAGCCATGGCCGCTGAGCCTGCGCGTCCGGAGCCTGTGCTCCGCAACGGGAGAGGCCACAGCAGTGAGAGGCCCACGTACCGCAAAAAAAAAAAAAAAAGAAAGAAAAAAAACCTTGCCCAATTTCTGTAATAAAGCTTAGCTCACCACTTAAAAAATCTTTCTGATTGTAAACTGTGTTATCCCTGTGGCTAAACAGAGCTGCTAATTTAGCAACCAATTTTTGGGTATGTCGGCTAAGCCATGCACACCACTGGAGGAGTGAAGGGACATTCTTCCTCAAAAAAGGGAGAGAAAAATGTTAACATCACCGACTTTACTTAGGAACTCATGACTGTGTCACAACTCAAACTGGGAGTTCTTTTTATTCTTTTTCTTTTTTTGTCTGTTTTTTTTTTTTTTTTAATTGAAGTGTAATCGATGTACAGTATTATGTAAGTTGCAGGTGTACAATATAGTGATCCACCTTTTTTAAAGGTTATACTCCATTTATAGTTATTGTAAAATATTGGCTATATTCCCTGTATTGTACCATATATCCTTGTAGCTTGTTTTATACCTAGTAGTGAAGCCGAATCAGGCGTCTGAACCCCGACACCGAACTGAATCTTGGAGACAGATTGGGTGAAGTGGAAAAGAAGAGCTTTATTGCTTTGCCAGGCAAAGGGGGGCACAGCGGGCTCATGGCCTCAAAACTGTGCGTCCCGACCTGGAGGGAGTAGTGAGGAGTTTTATAGCAATGGTTCAAAGAGGGCGTGATCAGCTCGTGGACCTTCTTCTGATTGGTTGGTGGTGAGGTAAGCGGGAGTCTGCATCCTCCACCTTCTGGTTCCAGCCGGTCTGGGGTCTCCGAGCTTGTGGGCAGCAAACAGTTAACTTCTCCCGCCTGGTGAGGGTTTCAGTGTCTGCAAAACAGCTTGAAGATACTGTTCTGTGTGTCCCTTGAGGGGGAACCCGGACCCTGCCCCAAGGCTGCGCTATTGTTTCTTGACTGTTCCTCTCTTGTCTCTGCATCCCCTCCCTTCCCTGATTAGCATCTTTGAACCTGCCCATTGGAACTCAGGGAAGGTCTTGGAGGCTGAATGAAGCCTATTTCCTGTAATCAACAAATGGGGGGACACAGAAAGGCTTTTGTGCCCAGGAGCCCCACAGGGTCCTGCTTGGTATCAGTAATTTGTACCTTTTCATCCCCTACCGAATTGGGAGTTCTTTAAACAGACTTTAAGAACCCCAGAAGTCAAGGCAAACTGAAATCACACCTTCCATGTTTGTGCTTGTATCAAAGTGAACGGAGAAGACGGAGGGTCAACTGAGGAGATGTGTCTTTGGGTGAAAGTGTTGCAGCAGGGAGCTGGGGAGAAAAGGAAGGTAGAGACCGTTTTCAGAGAGGGAAGCTGGCCCAATAAGCCAGCTTTTCTTGTGGGTTTCAAGAAGCAATCAGCTAGAAGTTTCTTTTCTCTGAGCCCTCCCCGCCGAGGCTACTTACCCAACGTGAAGCTAGAAGAGTCAGACAAAGCACAGGGAGGAAAGCATGTGGTGCCTCACACAGAGCTCCTCAAACCCTAGGCGTCTCTGAGATCTTGTTGAAGAGACGACGATGATTCCGTAGGTCTGCGTGGACCCGAGGCTCTGCTTTCCTAACGAGCTTCCAGGAGATGCTAATGCTGCTGACCCGTGGGCTGGGCTTGGACTGTAAAGGCCCTGGAGTTGTTGAGTTTCAGCTGCACGGTTTTTAAAAGGTTGCTGATCTGCCCAAGCAAGTAGGAAGCAGGACTCACCGTACCATGTGAAACTGGAGAGTGACTGGCTTCAGGCCCCAGGGCTGTTTTGAGTCCTACTCCGCTGCCACTTGCAAGGTAGGGGAGGCTCCGTGGACAAGTCTTTTAAGCTCCGGGAGCCTCAGATGCTCATTTGTAAACGGAGGGTGATGACACACGCACCGCCCAGCACAAAAGGTTGTCATGTGATCGTATGAGACCCCGTACATGCAAGTGCCCTAAGGGCTGTGAAATGCCATAAAAATGCCAGGAACCCTATTGTGATATTCTCCGCGGGGTACGAGGCAGCCCCTGCTCAGTTCATCGGCCGCCTCATGGTGGCCTGTTTAAACTGCAGGGGTGGGTCTTACAGGGAGTGGCCAACCCCTGCAGGGTCATTCAGGTGTTACGCCTTGCAGAAATCAGCTTGCAGGTCTGTTGGCTGCACAGGGCATTCTGGAATGATCAGGGCTTCCTGTGATGGGGCACTGTTGTCAGGAATTAGAGTGTGGATGTGAAAGCCTCTCAAGCCCAGCTGTCCTGGGTTTTCAGCCTGAAGCCTGTGGTCTCCCCAGTGACACCACCCCAGACTTCCGGGAGTAAAGTGAGCTCTTCTCTTTCCCCAGACTATCAACACCCCTCCCTCACCTTCCCTATTTCTCACTGACAGCCAGTCTCAGGGAGGGATCTGGCCACAGAGATGCGTGTGGGCGCTGCAGAAACTGTAGGCGTGAACTGAAAGGGGATTCAGCTCCCAGGAGTCTGTGCAAAGCCAGGAGCCAGAGGGAGGCACACGGGGGAGGCCGTGTCAGATTCATGGCCCTGGGGAGACTGTCAAGGCCAGGTGTGATGACACACAGCCTCCCAGGCCCTCTGACCCTGGGACAGGAGGACAGCGTCTCGGATCCAAGGGCTGCCACGGCCAGCAGAAATCAGCCAGAGCAGATG